TTTTTATTTCAGTGTAGTAGTTTTATGGGAAGTGGGACGTTGACAATGAAGTGCGAACCAAAATGCAAGGTTAATTAACAGAATGGTCAGTCAAGCAATGGTAAACACATGGGCAAATAGATGTATGCAGGCAAATCCAGAATCGGGGTCATATAACAGGCAGTTGGTCAAATGACAGGTAGCAGACAGGAATAAACAAACAAACAAGGCGAGGGTCAAAACACCGCAAAGAAAGGCAAAGGAAAGTGTTCTGTAATGTTCAAAGTACAGTATAACAAGACTCAGCAAAAAGAGTGTGCATGTGTGCTGTGTATATAGTCTATGTCATCAGTTCATGAGTAGCTCCCAGTTGTGAGTGTGTGAAATCAACCAAATGAGGAACAGGTGCATGTGAGCGATGCATGACTGGAGCTTGTAGTCCATATACTGGCGGATTTGTGGTTCTCTAGTGCAGCCGCTAGATCACTGGTGATCAGAACAAGTAGTTAGGTTTAGGTATTGCAAAAGATTAGGGATCTACTGTTTAATAAGATCATCAGAATGATGTATTAGAAGTACAAATTAACAGCCACTATTTTATAATAGTCTGGTAATAATTCACTAGTTAATAGTGAGTTTTTAAGCTAAAGTATTACTTTATTTTTATATTTTTAGACAAATAACATGAGCAGGACTCATGCGTTGCACTGAATATCTGATCAAAACTTGTGACAAGACTCGTTTGAACCCACTAATCAATCTTGAACTAGTTGTGACTGGTTTGCTGGAAAATGTGATATTATCAGGTGGAAACAAGATCAACATTAGCTACATAAGCAAGATACCAACATGACCATGCATGGCAGTGACTTGGATTAGAAAGGCATCGTGACCAAATGACTGTCTCAAAAAGTCTGCCTCAAAATTTCATTCAACCTAATGTTCAGAAGCCCTGCTAGATTTCCAAGTCAGGCCTTGACCTATTTAATTCCCTTCGCAGAGCAGATCTGTGAATGCAGCTGTCAGCTTGTTTTCTCATATCAATCTTCACTACTTTAAACCTCTGGAGATTTGTATGATTGAAATTTAGTGTATTTAGTATATTTTATTACATGCTCCGACAGCACGATCCTGTCATCGCTTTATGTCATGTGCTAAATCACTGCAATTTCCTTGCATTAAATTTGTTCGTCTTCCACACGCTAACATTTGCTTCTCCCTAGTTATTCTGGCTGACTTGTTTTTCAATCAGACAAAAGGAGCAGTTACTTAGAATAAATGTGTCAAGAAGAGAGGATCGTAAAAGGGAACATAAAGGGATTTTCTGATGGCTCTGAGCGTCTCCGTCTACTCGCTCTCAGCCAGATGGCAGGGTTTGAGGCTGTGGATGTGTTAGGAAATATTAAGTAAATATCGATAATAGCGTCCGCCATGTTGGAGCTCCCTGTCGCTACAGAGGCTGGAGTGAATCGATGTGTGACTCAGAGGCCTGCAAGCTTAACATAGCCCTGCTGCACAGCCATGTCCTCATGCTCATGCACACCACTTTATGGCTGTTTACTGTAAACTGGGCTGAAGGAGCTTTTTCAACTGTTCAAATTGTAGGTGGGGTTTGATAAATATTACTCCCGAGAATAGTTATGCAGTTATGCAGGGTTATTTTTGGACAAGCTAGTTGTTAAATAGATACTTGTTTTCAAGTCTATAAAAACAGATATTAAAAATTTTAAACCACCATTTGGACTGTTGATTAAATACGCTTTAGACATGCTCTCACAAAATTAGCTAAATTTCATCTTTAAAACCACTGGAATAAATTATTAAAATAAACTAGAAACTACCTTTTAAACAATTATTTTATAGTGCAATAACATTTTACAATTTGTACTGTATTTTTGATAAAATATATGCAGCCTAGATGAGCTGGATAAGCTGACCCCAAACATTTGACTGGATTTGTGTGTATATATATCTCTCACAAAGGCACAGGATCGCAGGAGTTATCAAACACGTAGGTTTATTTACAAAACAATTACAAAAAACACTTGAATAAGGACACTCAGGAAACATACAGCAGCAAGCAGAGGACACTCTACAGTTTGACAAATCGTCACCTTAGAATTATAAGGTTCAATCTGCGTTCTAAATGATTTTGAGATATTGAGCTTCAAAGATTTTGGATTCCATATAGCAAACAATATGTGTGTAACAGTTCTCTTTTATACATTAACATGACAGAGACCCTAAGGTTACTCTAAATGTAGATTATCAAAGTTTTCTTAAATTTGCAAATTGGAGTAAATAAACCATGGTAAATGCAGATAGAACCTTCTAATTCTGAAAAGTCATTTTCCACTTGGAGTTATAAGGTTCTATCTGGCAGATCATTCATTGAAGCATTACTTTTCAAGAAATACAATCAAAAAATGTATGATTTGGTGCTGTAACAATATGTTGATGCTTGAGAAAGTAAAATTTTTGCTTTCTATAACATTTATTTAATGTTTTAAGATGAATATTTTTTTTGTTCAAATTACTTCTTGTTAATATAAAATTTTATTCTTTATATGAATTATTGAATTATGTTTATGGAATTATATGCCTCATTAATTAAATTAAGTATTTGCCCTTAAAGGCTTAATATTAAATTGAAAGACTTTAAAAAGAAATAGACGATGTCCAAATGAGTTTAATAACACTGAAAGTGTTTCACTGACTATATGTAAACAAATAAATATGTTTCACATTTTTTAATATTTATTTATTTTTCAACAATGTAAAATTTAACATTTCATCTTAATGTCAGCAACGCGGTGACGCAGTGGCTAGCACGTTCACCTCACAGCAAGAAGGTCGCTGGTTCGAGCTTCGGCTGGATCAGTTGGCAATTCTGTGTGGAGTTTCCATCTTCTCCCTCTGTTGGTGTGGGAATCCTCCGGGTGCTCCGGTTTTCCCCACAAGTCCAAAGACATGCAGTACAAGTGAATTGGGTTAGCTAAAATTGGCCATAGTTTATGTGTGTGATTCAGTGTGTATGGGTGTTTCCCAGTGATGGGATGCAAACAGCTTTTGTTGTCATTTAATAAGAATATGTGAAAAACTCAATTTTGAAAAAAATGGCAGATAGAACCTTATAATTCTAAGGTGACGAAATATTGTTGTTGGACAATATAATGTACTTTTTAAGGCTTTTTTTTAATTGCAACTTTGCAGTTTATTTATAAGGAAAGTGCCTATTTTAAGTATGTAATAATTTCATGGAAATAGTGCATCGGCGGCCATTAGCCTGTCATTGAGCAGAGCAAAGACTGTTGATGTTTTTCATCCACAAGATGGCAACAGAGACTGCATAGTAAGCACTTAGAGGATTAAAAACAGCGTAATTTCAAGTTAAAGCTGATCAAATCATTATAAAACAGGTAAATGACATTCTAAGTCAATCTCTTTTGTATGTTGCAGTGCTGTATTTATACTGTAGTAATTGTAGCGTATTGAGTGTGAGATGGGACTCTCATACAGTATCAGGAATGTATGTATTATGTGTTGGCCACTCTTTGAATAATCCCGAGTTACTTTTTGGTTAGCCATCTGTTTATTTATAACGAGCCTCCTGTTTTCAATTCTGCAGACTTGTTCAGTAAAAAGAAAGAAATAAGAAATCCCTGCATGTGTTTAATGTTTTTTTCCTTTCGCAAAATTCAACAGCAGTCTGGTAGTGTTGTCTCTTTTTTTAGCTTTTTCGGGAGATAATTGTTGTGATCTCCCAATTGCAACAGAGAAATACTGAGAAATCTCTGTAGACTGATGGCATTTAATGCCGTTCAGCCTTATAATTTTAAAATGTGAGCAAAATCACCTGTTTTGTCATCACTTTAGACATTACGCTGTTGAATCATTTAAAAACGAGCTCTAAAGTGATGTTAATGAAGTAGCAACTGTTTCTGCTGTTCTTATATCAGCTGCAGATGTGAAGAAATGGTGGATGAGAGTAGTTCTTCTTACAAAAGGATTTTGAGACTCTCTGTGTTGAATTTTTTTGATAATATATACATGATAATGCCGTCGAACTGTTGTATAAACACAATATTACACTCATAGCAGTGCGATATGCTTGTATATCGTCACTGGAGGGGCACTAAGGCACTCGGTCTGCGGCTTCATGCCAACGCACACCTCCCACCAGTGCCAATATACAGCCAAATCACACTGCTACTCGTGTGATACTGCTCATATATAAATATAAATATATTTATTTATTTATTCATTTATTTATTCATTTATTATTTTTATTACTGTCAAGCACACAGTAATTATTTTTTTATTGCTTGTTTCTCTTCCATTTTAGCTCTTTACATTTTTAACTGTAAGAGTTTGTAATTTGTACTTTTTAGAAATTTAAGTTTACATCATCCAGATGCAATATTTAAATCTTGTCTTAGTTCTATATTTATGCATCATTATATATGTATTACTTCTTTTTCCAGATACAGTTCCCTAATGTCCACAATCATTTTAAAACAGTGAATTATTTATGTCATATGGTGAAATCTTAATATATAGCTTAAAAATTCAATATAATTGAGTTTTTCAATATCATATAGTTCTACAGTGATAAAAGGAACAGCATTCTTGTCATACAATTGTGATGCTTAAACAAGAATGAATGATTCTTTTACTTTGTGAATTTGTTAAATGCTAATCCTTTATATCTCTGATCTTGTTGATGCTGAAATCAATTTAGATCCAGCAGTGGAGAGTGTGATTCAATAATGGATTCAGTTCATTCTTTGATCTAAAATGTCATAGCACTATGGACACAAGCCCCTCAAACTGTCTCTTTTTTTCGAATTATCAACTCCCTTATGTTCACACACATAAACACACACAAACACACTCACGTTATCAGTTCATGATGTGTGTGTCTCTGAAGCTATACTATGAAGCTGTAAACTATAGTTTAGACACTGTTTTTTTTTAGCCATAGTAAATCAGAGCACTAATAATCTCTCTGCTCTTTACAGGATTGAAAAAACGCACCAGGAAGGCCTTCGGGATACGGAAGAAAGAAAAGGACACTGACTCTACGTAAGTTTCACTTATTTATAAACCAGTGTTTACCCTATAAGTGATAAGTGTTGTATGATATTTGATATGCAAAAATTTCGAAGACCTCTGTTATGAACGTGGAACAAAGCTTTGCAGAAAATCTATCATATGCCTTCTTGTTGTCTGATTGATAGTGAGGCTTTCAGATTGTCATACACACACGTTTTACTATGAAATGTGAAAGTAAACATAAATACACTTTAAATTGGTGGACATATTTAAATGTAAGCACTTTCTGGACTGAAACTTCAGATTTTCTTGAGTTTTCTTGAGTTCTAAAGTTTTAGACGAGGATTTTGTTTTTTATATATTATTATATGTAATGTAGGCACTTCAAAAATAGATAAGTGTTAGATAATAGTGTTAGGATAATAAAATAAGAGCAACTTTTGTATACATGTAAAATGTATAAATTTGTAAGTGTCAAACAACAAGTTGCAATGAGGAAAGAATCTTCCAGTGGATCATATGTTTTGCTTTACAATAAAAAAGAGCACTTAATCATAAAACAAAGCAATTTATAATCATATTACTAAGACTTTTAAACTTTTAAGGCTCATTGGGAACTGTATTTTAGTCTACATTTTTGTAAAACATTGGTTTGACTGCAGTTTCTAGGAAAAATAAATGCTGTGGGGCAGTATGGCGTCAACAACTTTTTTTCATGTTTATTATATTTACAAGGATATATTATTTAAGAATTAAGGATTGAGTTTTTGCAGTTCGTTACACAACACCAAATAAACACCACAAAAACAACTGAATGATGTCTATTTCAATTTCAATATATATTTTTATCTCACAAAAAGGGACAGTGTACATTAATCAACATTCCTCTAGAACGTAAATGTACCCAAATTAGCCCAAAGATTAGATTTCATTGTTAGTTCCTAGATAATAAACGGCCATAGCAATAAAAATACAATTTTAAACTAGAAACAAAACTCAAATGGACAACAAAAAACAACCACAACAATGACGATAGCAATAACAATAAACCTAGTGTTCTCAATATTTTATTTGTTCAATATGTCTATGATTTGTAATCAAATATATTTGCATTACCTGATAATCTGTCGCCAGTATAGGGATGTAACGTTTCACCCGACTCACGATTCGATACGATTCACGATACTGATCTCACAATATGATTTATTCATGATTTTTTAACAAAATTATTTGAAACAAATTTAAGGTGAAAAGCCTTTTCATTTTTTCTTGAATGCTACATATTTTTTGCAAAATAATAAATTTTCTGCCATAACGAAATTGCAATTTTAAAAACCAATTCCATAAAACAAGAATAATACAAACTAAAGAAGACTCAATAAAATAAACTAACTAAAACTGTGACTGTGCTGGGATTTTACATTTTTAAAAAGAAATATTAGCATCTCTCTGTTTTCTGGCATAAGCTGAGGTCTTTGCACATTTGCAATGTTCCCTGCTGAAAAAAAAAAAAAAAACCTTCACTGGGGACTGAGATGGCTGGGGTGGAGAGGTAAGCCTTTCCTAAACCCGAGAGCAGTGTGTACAGAAGTGGTCAAAAGGCCTTTTGCTTCAGGGGACTGGCCACAAAATGATTATAAAATAACTCATTATATAGGATAGAGATAGGTGGTGAACATGATTAGGAAGGTGAATAATTCATATTAAGTGTAATTAGTGTAAGTGTCATTGTGATGCACTTAAGAAGAGATAATCTCGAACATTTTAAATATTCAAAAATAATAAGCAAATTATTAAAATATGCGTAAACTAATTTGAAAAGGAGAGGGTAAAATAATCTAATACTTGCGTTTGTAACAGAACAACTTTTAGTCTAAAAAACATATTTCGCTATAAAAACATTGATGCACCGTGTGATCTTCGTAGCACTCGTCAAAGCAAGCGGAGCTGAGTATTTTCCCATCCACGTGGTTACGGTTAATCGGTACATCTCTAGTCACCAGATAAATGTGTGGTGTACAAGAAAGACATTTATATGAAACTTACAACAAAACTTATGTTAAGCAACACATTTTAGATTACCAAAAATGTAGACTCCTTCCAGTGTTGTCTAAAACGTGCAACAAAATGTACCTAGAGCAACATATTTTATGTTTCACAAAAATGTAGGCTGAAAACATGTATGTTCATTGAGCTTGGGCTGTATTATTGGGTGATAAAGTGTGAAATTATATTTATGTGCTTTTTTTAATGTAAAAAGTCTGCTATGCTGTCATAAAGATCTCCGTAATTTACATCACCAACAATCAGAATTTTATCTTTTGTGCTTTTGAAAAATCTAAAAGATATAAGCTTTATTTTCTTTTACATCTTACTGTGTATGCCATAAAAGTCAAATTTAGCTCAACAAGAAACTTTTCAACAAATTTTCTTTAAAACACTGTAGCTTAAAAAAAACGGATATTTTTTATATGTCAGGCTTTACATACAGTTATTGATCTTTTCAACATGATGTAGTTGAAAACAGTCAACATGATCTTTTCAACATGATGTAGTTCCATGCTGTCTTCTGCCTCCGTGTGTAAAAAGGCTTTAGATAATGCTTGTTATCTATTTATTTATTTATTTGAGAGTGTGTCAGTTTGGAGCTCAACACACATGTGTTTCTGTCCCTTGGAGTGAAGCCTGGCTAATTGCGTCTGTGCTTGTGTTGAGAGAAAAGAGAGGCTTGCATGTTAAGTGGGTATTAAAGACCTCTCTGTCTCTCTCTTTGTCTCTTTCTTTTGTTTATTTTCTCCTGTTTTTAGGGGGTCACCAGACAGAGATGGTGGAGTAAGTACCTCTTAACTGTAGCATCCTTTCAAGTGCCAAATTTACTATAATTTGTATTTTGGAATTTGAATCAACATTTTAATTAGTGCTGGCAAAGTTGATTCATTAACATATGCAGTTAATTAAATATGTTTAGTATTAAGTGCATATGTGTTCAGTTCAGTTCATTCAACTCATTGAGATTTTGGGGAACTGACTGAATAAAATATTCAGAGCTAATTGCAGCTGTTTAGAGCTGCTGTACACGCACACACATAAAAGACCACTCACTTCTCAATAAATAAGGAAATACATTTCCCTGAGCAACTTATCATTAACTGAATAATGAAATAACTGTTTAATGTAAGTAACCACTTAACAAAGTCAGCGGCATATTATAGATGGTATAATCAGTTTTTTTAATTATCATGAAAGAATAAAAAGGTTAAAAATAAATTATATGTAGTGTTGTCAAACAAACAATCGTGATTAATCACATTCAAAATGAAAGTTTAGATTTGCATAATATATTTGTGCGTACCGTGTTTTTAATGTCTATAAATATATGCGTGACTATAATATAAAATGCTTGTTTGTATTTAAATATAAAATATTTACATAAAATACAAATGATATCAAACTATATATGTAAATATATTTCTTTTGTACATTTGTGTATTTTATGCATTGTATGTGTGTGTATTTTTATATTTATACGCTGCACATGTATGTATTATGTAAATACAAACTTTTGTGTTGGATGCAGTTTGACAGCACTAGTATTAACATTCATTCGTTTATTTTCCTTCGGCTTAGACTCTATTTCAGAGGTCGCCACAACGAAATGAAGCGCCAACTATTCCAGTCTTTGTTTTATGCAGTAGATGGCCTTCCAGCTGCAACCCAGAACTGGGAAACACCAGTACACTCTCACATTGATATACGCACATGTATACTACGGCCAGTGTGTGTGTGTGTGTGTGTGTGTGTGTGTGTCAAAACTGCATAATTATTACAAAAAGAAAAACACAGATAATTCACACTTGTGCATAAGCTGTATAATTTAAGAAAGTAATTATGTAACATAGGCAGTTTGTGCATGTAAAAAAGATAGCATTAGAAATAAGCATTAAGTTCCCCTCACTCCTCTACAAGTAAATCCTTTAAATTTAGCTGTATTCAGAATAGAAACTATAAAAAAAGACACTTAAAATAAATGTCAAGCCTAAACAATGTATAAAGTAAAAGTAAAACAAGGGGTGTGTGTGGAAAATGTGCTACACAAACACTGTCATCTTGTGCGTAAATGTGTGTGCTTTGAGCATGTTATGCTTGCTTGATGTTAATTCCATTATGTAAGAAGCTTCGTGTCAGTCCCTCCAGGATTTAGCGAATGCAATGTCTCTTGAGAAAAAAAAAGGAAAAAAGTACAAGATTTTAAAGCATTTTCATAGCAAAACCCAAGAATTGAAGCAAGTAATTTTGTCACAAAATCAGTAAATCCTGTATTATCCTGGAGTGACTAGTCACAGCACATTTGAAATGCTATAAAATGTGAATTATGTTTGGAGAAGTATGTTAAATGTTTGTACATTAGTTCAATAATAAAAATTATCTTTTTATTTTCTGTATTATGGATGATCTTGACACAAGGAACCCCAAGAGATTGAATCGGTACTGACTCTATAGATAGCATAGTCTTGTAGATGAAAGTCTAACGTTGTAGCGGTAGTTTGTAGCTTCTACTCAATAAACACCTGTAGATTCTCAGAGTGACACCCCTAGATAAACCAAAATCGTGGAAATAGAATCTCAATAGGACTGAATTTGAGTTATGATGCTGAGTGTTGTGTTTGATTTGCTCAGCCACAGAAAAAGACCAACGGGGCTCCAAATGGCTTCTACGGGGAGATTGACTGGGACAGATATGTAAGTACATCTTTCAAGAGCCTGGTCATTTTAAGCTAAATGTGATTGGCAGTTCAAGCTACTACATAAATGGCTGTTTAATTAAGATCTACTGTAATAAAGATTAACACCGGTTCTTTTTGGTTCTTTTTTTTTTGCAGAACTCGCCTGAATTAGACGAAGAAGGATACAGCATCAGGCCAGAGGAGGAAGAGGGAGATATCTTTTTATTAAGCAATGGAATATTAGGATTGTATTTATATTTAGTATTTTTTATAATATATATATATATATATATATATATATATATATATATATATATATATGTATATATATATATATATGTATGTATGTATGTATGTATGTATGTATGTGTATATATATATATATATATATATATATATATATATATATATATATATATATATATATATATATATATATATATATATATAATTAATTATTTTTCTAAGACTTTTTAACAGATTTTCTGAATTTTTTTACTGTAATAGCCACAATCTAAACATTATTTTCAATTCTGCTATTAAGCAAATTTTAAACAATAAATAAATATAGCTAAAACAGTTTTAAATATTATATTATATTAATTATATTATTTATTTTTTTGTTTTCAAACATTAAATAATTCAGCTTTTATTTAATTGGAAAATCATAGTTTAGAAAACCATAGTAAAACCATAGTGAAACTTGTCTTTTGAAATGCGTTCCTTTTGATAAAAACAGATTTATTCTAAACAACATTGCATTCTTTCAATTTTAGATTTTATAATAATAATAATAATAATAATAATACCAACAGATCCAGTTTTAAATACTCACCAGCACAAACTGCACTCACATTTGATGTGTGGCAAGTGTTAATTTTAGTCGATTGTTTTTTGTCTTTCCTTAATAAGGTTTGTAAAATGTACAGTGTTGCAATCCTGACAATTTACATCTGACCCCTTAACAACCCTTCACCAGTCTCCAAAGAGAAGACTCACTTTTTCTCGTCCAGCGAGTCTGAAGAAGAGGAGGATCACCGCAAAAAGTTTAAGATCAAAATCAAACCCCTGCCAGCAGACGCTAGCTTTGCGGCTCCCTCGGTAGATGAATTAAAAGCCTCCATAGGCAACATAGCTCTGTCTCCCTCGCCTCTGGTGAGTCCAGCCAATGTTATTCATGCATTACACATCTCATGTCATTTCCTGTCACTTTTCTTTCTAATTATTTGAACAACTCTTACAAAAAACATACTGTAATATTGCTTATAAATTACACTGAGAATGTTTATTATTGGACTGTCAAATTGTTATAATAGGAGTGCACCTATACGCTCACTATTGACCTTACATTGTGCAAAGTTACCATCAAAAATCAGACCAGATTTTGTTCTATGTTTTTCACATTCATAGCAAATGTCCTATTCAGAGCCATTTATGAGTGAACCCCAAAGTGCAAAAAGGGCGACTGATTTGATTTACTTAGCCTTGCAGCACAAAGCACTTTATTATAAAGTATGGAATACAAATATATGGAATATATTTTTTAAAAGAAATATAATCTGATCTGACTTGGTGTCAGTGTTGGGTAAGTTACTTCAAAAAAGAAGGGCCTTCCAGCTGAAACACCAATACACACTCGCATTCAAATACATGCTTTTACACTATGACCAAATTTATTTACCCTGTTCACCTTTAGCACATGTCTTTCAACTGTAGAGGAAACTGGAGCACCCAGATGAAAACCACATGAACACGGGGAGAATATGCAAATTTCACACAGAAATGCCAGCTACCAGCAAGGTTCTTGCTGTGAGGCAACAGTGCTATCCACTGAGCCACCGTGCCGCCCCATAAACACATAGACAACAGAAATTAAAGTCTTTCAATTCTTCAAGAGTCAAGGTTATTGCACACTGAATCTAAACTTTTCGGCCGTAAATTTTGCAAGTAAAAAAAATAAATTCAACCTTTCATTGTGTGTTTCTTGTTCATTGTGTGAAGACACACTGCCTTCGAAAATTTTATTTGTTATAAAAAAATTGCTTTAAGGGGTGTTTACACATTTCAGAGCCACCATACAAGCAAAAAGCTAAATAGAGAATGCCGTCATTTGAGCTACAGATAACTTTTACAAACACAGTGCATAAAATAAAGACAGAATGTGGGAGACAATTGAAAACCCCTATATGCTGGATTCAGTTACTGGTGCACTTCTGCCCTGGTGCTGTTTGGTGTGTGCGTGTCAATACATTTGACGTACTGCCCAAAGACATAATAGAAATATTAGAAATATTATTATAATAGAAAGCATGGTCCACTTTCGGTCCGTAGCTTCAAAACGTCAACGTGGCCACCATCTGTTATGATGTCTATAGTAGCCTACTGCCACTCTCTTATCAGGATTTGTTTACATGAATGTGTGAAGTGTCACAAACAATGTATCAAAATTCTACTGATTTCCTGAAATAAACTGTGCATTTGGGGATAATCATAGCGCATTAATTTCAGACCTCAATATGCAAAGACCTTCAAATTGTGCCTTTTTAGCTTTGTTAAAAGTTTAATAATTAAGAAAAGGTAAACATCAAATCTGTCAAAGTACAAAACATTTCATACATACTAAATATGATTATTCATTGGTTATTGGTTATTAAGTATGTGCAATTGTCAGACAAATGTAACCTTCTTTAGTTGCAAAATAGAACTATTCTTCCAATAAATACTGTTTTTGTACAACAAAAAGTAACTTACTCCTATACAGACCTATCTATTTACAGTATTTAAGGCAAGTACATTATAAGTATCTGAAATTAAATGACCTTAAAATGGAAAGTACTCCGAAGCTTTCCTTTTTTAGTAATACAATTACAGTAGTTACTTTGTAAATAACTACACCCAACACTGTTCTGTCTGAAAATATTTAGGATGACAAATACAGAAAAAAATGCATGCAGAAATTTTTGCTCTCCATGCATGAAGTAGAGAGACAGTTTACACACACTTTGCTTTTCTCTCTGTAAGAAGAGGAAATGGCTTGTTGATGCAGATTTATGTAATTATGATACAGCTATATGTAAGGAGGCTTATGAAATCGAGGAAGTGCTTTAGGTTGTTTATTAACCTTGTCAACTCAATTTTATAGTCACATGATGACAAAAGCCACAATCCAGTCTTGGCTTACAGAACAAATGGCTGTGCTTGTGTATGTCTGTGGTTAATATGAGGCTATCACACTGTGGAGGTTGATTCTGGAGAGAGCAATGAGCAATTCTGATAGAGCTGCTATTCATTTTACAGTCCAAAAAACGCCTACTTGCCATTTCACAAAAAAACGGTTTTGAGTTGTGGAAAGCTATATAGCTTCAGCCAGTTAGTTACATTGTTTTTAATGAGCATTTAATACAATTTTAGGGTGAAAGTCTTGGTTTTTGGGCACTGCATACAGCATTCAGGAGATGAGTATGTCTTTGTGGGCAGAAGCTGTCAGTCATTCTTCGCTGGTTTAAAAAACTGAGATCTCAGTATAATGTTAATATTAACATTAGTTATAGTAAGAAACAAATGTACAAAGAGAGAAACATAATATTTCTAACAACCGGGGTCTTTTGAAGTCAGAATTATTAGCCCCTTTGAATTATTAGCCCCCCTGTTTATTTTTTCAACACATTTCTAAACATAATAGTTTTAATAACTCATTTCTAATAACTGATTTATTTTATATTTGCTATGATGACAGTAAATAATATTTGACTAGATATTTTTCAAGGCACTTCTATACAGCTTAAAGTGACATTTAAAGGCTTAACTAGGTTAATTAGGTTAACTAGGCAAGTTAGGGTAATTGGACAAGTTATTGTATAACAATGGTTTGTGCTGTAGATTATCGGAAAAAAAATATTAGCTTAAAGGGCCTAATAATTTTGACCTTAAAATTGTTTTTTGAAAATTAAAAACTTATTTTATTGTAGCCGAAATAAAACAAATAAGAATTTTTCCAGAAAAAAAAAATATTATCAGACATACTGTGAAAGTTTCCTTGCTCTGTTAAACATAATTTGGGAAATATTAAAAAAAAAATAAGAAAAATCAAAGGGGGGCCAATAATTCTGACTTTAAATGTATATAAGCAATTCAAGTACAAAACATGACAACTGTCTTAAAAAATACATAAGTAAATAAAAATATTAACAGTGACATAATGCTGTAATACTTCTCATTGCATTTATGTCATAATACCTCAGCTATAAATTATTTTCGAATAATGCTTATATCTTCGCTTTAGCCTATGTAACCTGGTGAGCGATAAAACAATGCAGTACCCTAGCACACCCTCGAGTTGTCTGTAATAGTGTTGTCTCACTACTGAAATTTTAAAAACGTCCATTTCCCGCTAAAATTTAAGCACAGCTTATCGCGTTCTTAAACCCCACTGACTTGCCATAGTATTTACCAGTGCTAAACAGAAATAGCAGTGATTGGCCGTATAGGTCATCAGTTCACCACTCTTCATTGATTAAAAACTCACGTTCAAGAACACTGGAGCATTTTAAAGCTGCGAAGATTAGTCGATTCATCAGTGGATCGCTCGTCTGTGTTTGCACTTGGTAAATATTGTGAGGTGCGTTCTGTGATCTGATGACCTTTACGGCCAATCACAGTCATTTCTGTTGAGCATGTGAACACAATGGCAAATTAGCGCTGTTTAAGAACGCCATCAACTGTGCCTTAAATGTTAACGGGAAATGGTTGTTTATTTTACATTTCAGTACTGAAGTTCAGTATCGTGACAAGTTTAATAAGAAAGAATCAGTTCGTTGATTTGAGTTTGATAAATGGCATCTAAAACGTATGTTTAAAAAAGAAAACATTAGCTAACTAGTGCTATCTTCCTTAACTTAGCTGAAACAAGGTCCGATATTCCTTTTTATTTTCACAACATATTCAGAATGGACCTTCGGGTCACTCAGAAGGCGGTAAAATTACAATTTCTGTCACTTTCTCTTCGCTGATAAGATATACAGCCAGGTACACAACATTTCTATGTGACTCCAAGCGATACTTCTGGGTTTCTTCCCACCACAACCTTAATTTCGCTTTTGAAAATGGCTGCAGCATGAAATCAATCTATTGTCCATGCTGTAGACCTACACAGACCTGTTTTTGCAGCAGATCGCCAACCAGAGCGACAGGCAGCTACAAAGTTGCTGCTAGTGTGAATGAGGCATTAGGGTTAGTTTTATGTAGTTATTTGTAATTTAATGTTACTATTATAGTACGTGCATGGAACAAGGATGTGTAACAAGGACACTGTAAAATAAAGTGTTACAGAATATCATACGAATTGCTAAATATTTAGCTTTTGCTGATCCTCAGGTTTAGTAAAATAATTTGATATCTATGAGAATGAAAATAAGAAAAAAAACAGTTTTAAACCTGTATGAGTTTCTTCAGTTTCTTTATATTCAGAAGATATTTTGAGAAATGTTGCCATAGACAGATGATTGTAGCTGTTGAGTTTCGTAGTAGGAAAAATACTATGAATGGGTACTGGTCAACTGGTTGTTTACCAACTTTATTCAAAATATCTTCGATGGTGTGCAATATAAAATAGAAACTCACTGGAACAAATTGAGGGTGAATGAATATAATTGTAATTTTTAGGTAAACTAATTCTTTAAAAAAAAAAGTTCAGCAACATTATCTTACAAAACGGAAGTATTGATTTTAAAAACTTTTTAGTTTGTGAAGTCATCTAAAAGTTTATCTAACAGAGGTCAGTCAGATGAGATATGGCAGAGATGGGTCTTATCTGTCTCCCTGAGAGTGTTGTGGAGTCAGCGTTATCTGAAGTCAGAGTTGTTCGGAGTTTCAGGTGGAGTCTCTGTTCTCTCTCAATAATTCAGTTTGGAAACTGGGCACAATGACTCTACTGCATGAAGCGACAGGCCTACCGAGAGAGCGCAGCCATTCAGACTGAAGCGTATCGCATGAAGAACTAGCATGCTAAATAATTCACACACACACTCTTCTGTCAGTGTGCTCTCAAATCCATTTTTGGGGTCTTGTCAGTCAATCTTACAAAGAACTAAAACTCAGGACCACCTGCTGGGGTATTTCATGTTTTGCTTTGTTCCTGAAATTAATTGGCACTCAGATCGCTCTTTAGCTGCTGTGAAGTAATTATCTTTTCTGGGGTTTTCATTAGCTCATATTCCCAAAGTTAAGTCTGATTCTGCACATCTGTGAATTGCTTTCTAAGTGTGCTCGGTGAATGCTAATCCACATTCAGGCTTTGAAACAGGTTTTTTTTTCCCATGCTGTGGAATGTGGATCATTTATTTATAATATTCATAGTAAAATTTTAGATAGTATTTTCTGAGTGGACAGGCATTTAATTGGTGTTTTTTATTTAATAGATTATAACAGTTCGGGTCTGACATTCTCATGCTGTTACTTTTATAGGGATGTCCCCGAATTGTGATTTTATTAGTTGACTGATAGTTGAGTAAGATTTTTGTTGGAGTGGTTCTGGATTTTTAATTTTTACATTATATTTTTTGAGCCACTGTGTACAGAAGATTATACAAAAGATATAGAAGTTTTTTTTTACTTAAAAATTAACAAATAACTGCAGAAAAGTCTCACTTCGAACAGGATTCGCACTTCATATGCTAATCAGATTAAAAAAGCTAAAAATTGCCTGTTTGAGCATGTTTGGAGCGCAATGTCCTCTCTGGCGCAATGTCCTTCACTGACCTCATGTCAAGAACAACAGGTTTCTTAAAGTTAGGGTGCTGCTGCAGCGATAGATGAGATCAGATATCGAAAGTGGATTTAGAGAGAGGATATATGAGCAATATCACACTCGTAGCAGTGCGATGTGGCTGTATCGGCACTAGTGGGAGGTGTGCGTTGGCACAACAACGCAGGCCGAGTACCTTAGTATCCCACTACTGACCATATACAGCCATATCGCATTGCTACAAGTTTGATATTACGTTCATACAACAGTTCGACGACATAGTCGTACATGTATAAAAAAGAAAATCAAACACAGAGTCTAAAAATCCTTTTGCAAGAGGAATCCACCATTCTTTCACATCTGCAGCTAACATCAAAACATCAGAAACCCTTACTCATTCACCAACGTCACTTTAGAGCTTGAATGATTCTCTAGCGTAATGTCTGAGGTAATGACAAAACAAGTGATTTTGCTCACATTTTAAGATTATAAGGCTGAACAGCATGAAATGCCTTCAGTCTACCGAAATTTCCCAGTATTTCTCGGTTGCAATTGGGACATCACGTACTATGGTATAAATACAGCACTACAACACACAAAAAAGAGAGAATGAGTCATTTACCTGTTTACTAAGGATTTGATCAGCTGTAGCTGGAAATTACCCCCTTTTTCTCTTAGTGTTTATTATGCGGCCTCTATTGCCATCTTGTGGATAAACATTTCTCACTTGCTCTAAGACCGGCAAATGGCCACCGAAACGCTGTCTCTCTGAAATTATAAATATTTTTAAAAAGGCTCTATCCTTATAAATAAACTGCATACTTGCAATCTAAACAACTACATTATCGTCTAAAAAAAGCCTTAATAGAAGGCCTACATTATATTATGCAACAGCAGCATAATATTTGTCAAACTGTAGTGTCCTCTACTTGTCGCTCTATGTGTAGTTTCACATAAGAGTAAAAGATTAGGAGGCTGGACAATTGCGGTTGTTTGCAGAATATTGCACGGCTACCACAAAATCAGATTTAAGAACCAGATAGAACTGTTGTAGAAAGTTTTTTTTTAAATAGTCATAACATTGCTATTTGCATATTAACAGCATTATTAAGAAAAGAAAAATGTCAACACAAACAGAAATTAGCGCTAGTGATAGGTTTGGCTAGCCACTAAAGTAAATAGATTAGCTCTGATCTGCTCATATACTGAATGAACAGCGTGTTGTAAATTTTACAGTGATAATGTAATATACAGCATTTTTACAGTGTATACTAGCATGAACCTTATTTCATAATTTACCTCTGTGAATATTCGACTGAGATATTAGCGGATCAGTCTCCTCCTATATAAGAATCAAATATTCAACTATTTGGGGTCACCCCTATATAAATTGCATAGTATCGATTTTTTTTTTTTTTTTTAAACAGGAAATAAGATGGAATATTACATTCATATTTATATTCATATATTTTAATATTATTTATATTATATACTTTTTTAGTATTCCTTATTGAACACAAAGCTATTACTGTTTATCTGATATACCATATACATCTTTTTAAACAAATATAACATTTTTGTCACTTTTCATAGATTTAAAGCTTTAATTACCGAATGAAGTATTTGTTTCTTAAAGTGAAAAATCGAATTTGCTTTTTAATTTGCATTTAGAACTTATTTTCTAAAATGTTTATTATATTTATTATAATATAAATTATATTATAAAAAATATATATATATTATATTTAATGTCAAATGAAAACCTGAAAAATTTATATTATATATAATGTGAAATCATCCAACATAACAGCTTTGATTTTCTTCACATTTTAACAAAAAATGGCACACTTTTAGCACTTAAAATGACCTCATTGACTCAAATCCACTTTGTCAAGTATATTGGAACGCCTGGCATTCCTTACTTATGAATTAAACATCAGTCACATGCCCATCCTGTGCCATGGCAACCTCTGCGTATTTGTGTAACCATGGTAATGGATTAACCATGAATACTCATCAGAAGAAAGTGTGAGCAAAGGTTGAACAACAGAAACGCTACAATGGAGATAGCTCTCTCTCTCTCTCTCTCTCTCTCTCTCTCTCTCTCTCTCTCTCTCTCTCTCTCTCATTGTTTCAGGGGGATTGTGATAATTCATACACTTGATGTACTTGATCATGTAGTCTGAACAGAAAATATTACATGTAGTCAGCCATTCAGAACACAGCCAGAGATAAATGAAACGGTGGAGTTACAGGCGAGTGAAAACAGACACAAAGGCCCTTGGTTCTTAATATAGCACACCTCGACCAGGTGCTGGCTTCCAGCTGCTATTCATGTTTTATTGATAAGGTTTGCTTCTTTATTAAGCCTCTTGTCTATAGGCAGTCAACCAGCAAGAGGTAATAAAGCTACATGTGTTCTCAAGGCCTGACTGAATGGTAAAATGTAGAAAGATTGATATAAACTAAACAAATGATGTCATTTGATTTTAGAGGAAAGTTTTAGAATGTTAATAGTGGAAAGCAGATTTTAAAGTTTGTTTAAAGGTTGTATCCATTATCGGCAGAATTTAGGTGCCATTAAGTATATTATTGTGTGTAATTGCTGTGCACCTGTATTATACAGTTAAGAAATCTTACTTTGTTTCATTTTATTTTATTTTAAATTGAATTGAATTTTATTTTATTTTTAAAAATGTCTTTATTTTTTTTTTTAAATTCTGCTATTTATATTTTATCTTTATTTTATTTTAAATGTATTTTTATTTATTTTTATTTTATTTTATTCATTTATTTATTTATTTATTTTATGCAGCAAGGACCAAATAAACTGGTCAAATCTGAGAGTCAAGACATTAAACAATTAGACGTTATATATATTTTTAATTCTTACATTTAATATTTCTGTAATAAACACTGTTCTTTAGATTTTAATTATGAAAAATACTGCTGAAAATCAAAATATTACTGCTGCTTGCTGTATTGCTGACCAATTAAATGCAGCGTAAGTTATAATTAAAGACTTTTATAAACATTGTTAAATAAACTTTTTAGTGTTTGTTTTTATTTATTTATTTTATGTTGACTCCATGGAAACAAATCAAAAATCATACGAGCCACACGAGCACTTACTCTAATGAATGATCTTCTCAGTGACCCAAAAATGGAAAATTCTGTCATAATTTTCATTCTTCCTTCTATTGAATTTAAAAGAAGATATTTTGAAGAAAGCAAGAAACCCATAACCATTAACTTCCATAGTATTTGTTTTTCCTGCTTTGAAAGTCAGTCTTCAGCTTTCAGAATTATCTCTTTAAGCTCTTTAGAAATAAAACAAGTTTTACACAAGTACACAGACATGCATACCACTTTTTTCAGTGTAAAGTGATTAAGGTTCCTCTGTTGACTAATTTTATTTGACTGATCTTCTCTCTGACTTATTGCCTTATTAAATGTTACACACATAGTGCTGGAGGCAAAAATCTGTAATCAGCTCAATAAATGACAAAATGTGTTTGCACAGTGTTGCGTCATGCTGTCATCAGTGTTTGTAAACATTTTCTCCATGTCATTCCTCTCAAATTCCATGTAATGTGTTTGTGCATGCTTCCCAGCACAATGCTAATATAGATGATGCTCCTTTTTCCTGTCTCTCTACCTGTCTGTCTCTACGTTTCTTTCCATCTTTTCTCTCTTTCATGCTGGCTGGTATAGAGGAATAGTCCGGTAAGCTGTTTATACATTGTGTGTTCCTATTTCAGAGTGACATCATTTTACGGTTTTATTATTTTGGCATGGTGATGACTGCATGCTTGGTGTTTAAAATTCCAAATAGAACTGATCTACTGTACAGACAGTTTGGTTGTTTTGGCATGGACTGTTGGATATTGATACAGTCTGTAGACAGAGTTGTGCTGATAGTTAAAGGGATAGATCATCTAAAAAATAAAATGAACATTTTCTCCTGATTAACTCACACTCAAGTGGTTCTAATTTTTTTTTCCGTTGCAAAACAAAAAAACAAGATATTCTGAAGAATGTAGTGATCTAGAAGCCATTGACATTTCTTTCTTTTTCTTGCACTTTTCTGGCAAACCAAGTGTTTGTATCTACATGTCGCCTACAAGTAAAGTAAAATCAGACTCATAGTGTGTATTTTAATAGACATATGTGTTCTCTAACATGGACGTTAAACAGAAAAACAGGGTAATCTTTCTAAATCTGTTTATCGGTGCAGGAATACATACTCAATTCAAATTATTTACATTTTCAGTGGCTAAATAATGGATTCTGACCTATGGTAACCTCTGATTGTTTTTTTCAACAGACGTGATTCTCAAAGATTACCTGAATAAGGATGTACAGTAAATAATTTGAACCAACCAATAAAATGTAATTGAGTTAAATATATGAATTTGGGTCTTTAAAGCATATATTACCAAAAACTACTGAACCGCCGCCCAAACACACTCTGGATTTGCTGGACATGGCATGGGTTGTTTTACTGTAGATGAGCTGTGAATTTTTGCATGTTTGTTTCACTTTAACATTATTTGAATAAGTGGACTCTCCATCTTTAATCATCAGCCTTGCTCTTATATTAAAGGATTTGGTCGTTTTTCCGCTCTTGGCTCTGATTGGTGGGGGTGACCTTTGTCTACAGCCTATGGGATTAGATTTTACCACTGGTACATCACCCTATAATAACTGAGAACTCACAAACTAAACTCAGTCTGAACTCAGAGCACTCGTTCCTGGAGGTAATCCAGACATGAGGGAGGGAGAAAGGAGGAAAAAAGGCATATAATGAGGTTAAATTGAAATAAGCAGGAACTGATGTCTAACGCTAAAGTATATGTCAACAGGAAATTCTTGTCCTTTCGCTTCCGTTGGAACTTTAAATTTGGTCTAATAGTGGTGTGCATGACTGCAAATTTGACATATCTGTGAAATCTCTTTGAAGCGAGTAGTACTGTACGTACTTTCTATGCTTTTAGATCTTCTGAAGACTAAACAGTGCTGAGACAAGCAGCACAGCACAGGTGCAACTTTTGGCACTACATGATTTAATACCATTTTTAAGAATCGCTGAAATCCTGAAAAAATGCCTTATAAAGCTGAGTATTTTCTAGTGTGATATGCATGTTACTGCTTATTAAGGAAACAGTTCGCCAAATATCTCGTCATATATCATGTCATTGTTTAGCATTGTGGGACTTATCAAAAGAACTCAGAGAATAGATGCTTTTCAATGAACACAATGACAGAAAAGTATCATAAAATGCATGTACAGTACATACTCTGTCATGTATTTTCAAGCTGTATGATTATTTTATGTGATGAAATTTAATCCAATCGAAATTAAGGTAATTACATCATTACTTTAAATCTCTTAAAAGTCCTACAGTCCCATCAAGTAAAGTGATTAAACAATCTTAAATTCAAAATCACAATTAAAGTATGTCAAAGGTTAACAGAGTGTAACGCACACACTTCCGTTTTGCAACTGGGCTTGCTTTTGATCGATGTCTATATTACTGATTTATCACTTTCTGACCAGGTGTCTCTTCTCTCTTCCTTTTTGCTGGTCACAGAGACGTAGTCCGGTAAGTGCCATTTATGTTATTTTTCTGTCCCCAGTGTTTAAAGCTAGAACTTTTACATGTTGAAGATACCCATTTTTAAATATAATGTGTTCAAAGAGGTTTACTTCCCATGATGGCAATTCCAAGTAGAGATAAAATGTACTTATTTTTTATTTATTTATTTATTTTTTATTATTACAGTTTAATAATCGCTAATCAAAGTAGACATTAGCACTATTTATCACTTTTAATCTCCTGTATTTGACCTTTAAACTTAAATGAAAGGCCCATGTGAATAGAAATGTTCCTTACTCGGGTGCTACAGATCCATGTGATCAAAATTGTTTACTTTGGCAAATGCTTTTTTTATAAATCATTACACAAATAAGAAGGCAGTTATTTTGACCATTTGATAACTGTTAAAAAACAATATATATTATAGTACCCTGACTTGTCCTAAATGTGTGTAATTTATGTTAACATTACAAAACACAAGAGTATTTTTGTCCTGAATGGCCTCAACAGTCAAATTGACAGCATACATTTCAGCATTCGCTTCTTTTACCCGTGCCTTTGAATAAGTGTGGCTCTGCTACTACTACTTTCTGCTAACAAAAACATAACTTTCAGACAGCAAAAACATAAATTTACATCAGACATGGCTATCAAACATATCTACTACATTTTTTTCATGTCGGACAAAGTGAGGTACAATATGCACTTTCGGGGGTCTAGTAACTTGTACACAATTGTAAGCAACACACTATTACAAAAGTGATTGTCTTTTCAGGTTAACGACTTTACAAAATATATTAAAAGACTTTCAAGTTTAATTCTAATTTGTAAGATCTAAATAAATAATTCTTCTCAGACTAATAATAATAAATAATAATTCTCAGAATAATAAATAATAAAGTTTAATTCTATATAAAATATGAAGTCATAAATATATATATAATAGTCAGAATGATTGCTATGGCCATCCTAGTAGTGGTATAATTCTGGTAGTCCCTGTAGTGAGTGCTATAGAGCAAAAATTATTTGTATGAATATTCATCTGAAGAATATTGTCTCACATTGTTCTACAAATAATGCCATTTTGACTTTAAAAGCCTCAAGAATTATGCCGTGTAGCGAGTCTTTTTGTGAATGTTGAAAATCATGATCAAAATGCATGACAAATAAATTAATTGTATCCTAAAAGAAAGAAGCCCAGAAAGAAGTTCCTTCCAAACAAGCTGTCAGTAATTTCAGTTTCAATTCTGTAACCGATCTACATAGATGCAAATTTGAAAAATACCACCTTATGGTGACCACTGGCTGCCCATGAACAACATGCACATCAGATACTTTAATTTGTTCTGTTGTCCACACAATTTTTATGTAGAAATCATACATTGTCAAAACAAATAGCACAACTTATTGACTAAAGCTTTGCTTACATCAGATGAGCATTTTGGTCTATATAATGAGAGCCTTTGCAAAAAAGCAGAATTCAATCATAAAGTGCATGTACTCAACAAATTTACACATTTTCTATAATGAATGATTTTAACACATATGATTATCCATTTTGGGGCATCACGGTGGCTGGTTCAGTAAGCTTTTCTGTGTGGAGTTTGTATGTTCTCCCAGTGTTGGCGTGGGTTTTCTCTGGGTGCTCCAGTTTCCCCCAAAAGTTCAAAGACGTGCTATAGGCGAATTGGGTAAGCTAAATTGTCATGTAGTGTATGTGTGTGAATGAGTGTGTATGGATGTTTCCCAGTGATGGGTTGCAGCTGGAAGGGCGTCTGCTGTGTAAAACATATGCTGGATAAGTTGGCGGTTCATTCCACTGTGGCAACCCCAGATTAATAAAGGAACTAAGCTGAAAAGAAAATAAATGAATGAATGAATGAATGAATGATTGTCCACTATGTTCAGATGCTTAACAGAAACAAACATAAATAGTTGTTATTAAAAATATCCTGCTCAAGTCATGTGTAGTCACTAGTTTTTCCGGTGTGTTATCATCAGACTCATCTGATATGGTTTGATCTAGAAAATTGATTCTGTTGTACAATGACTGTGGATGCTTTCAGAGCTGAAATTCAGAAATGGTTATAACTATCTGGTTTCTTAAAAATGCTATAAGCACCAAGCCAAGCCCAGACTGAGCTATCTGAACAATCAGAGCAGAGTAGGCTCTATTAAATGAAAGGTTAGAAAAAAACAAATCTTCAAACAAGTATATCCAATATCACGTTAATAAAATGCTCAAATCATGTTTCATTTAAACACAGTGAATGGTTACATGTTTTTAACATCATTATTATTGAATAAGTTTGATTCGTTCAAAAATGTGTTGATTTGAAATGTGTATTATAGAACAAAAATGTGGTAGAAGACCTCAAAAACAAAATTAGGAAGCTTTGAAGTAGCATGAAGGAAAACCACTGCTGTGTTCATTTCTTTAAAATTCACTGCCACCGTGGAGAACCTGGTGTAATAACATTTATGTCAGTGTTATTTGTTACTAATGCACCAGTGAGTCAGATATGATTGTTCATCACCTGAGTCAATCATGGGAATCAGCTCTTCTGTCAGCTGAAGCATGCGTTATGAAACAGCAATTTACAGAGCATTAAAGCACTGTCTCTTTCTGAGTTAAACTTACCATTCCCTTGATTAAATTTACCCACAATGCACTCTTTTCACTTGATGCGTGATATGGTGTTATGAGCTTTTAGTCTTATGAATGTTTTGGCCTTCTGTTTGTTTCAGGGGCTGGCAAAAAGAAATCCCTGTAAGTACCCATAATGCGATTAATTCTTGAGATTATTAGTTTGATGTATATTTCTATTCAAATGTGACACTAAATAGTTGCCTGGAATTAAAAAGACTGAATATAGAGATGTGTTTGCATGTGTGTGAGAAGGTGCAATTTAATTGTTCATTTGCTGTTATTTTTTTTTAGGTGATGAAATTGCGCGGCCGAGGCGTGCTGTTCCAGCACCTGCACCAGTTTCTGCCCCTTCCCCAACACCTGCACCCGTGGTCCTTCCAGAGCCTGCTAGGTATCCATACACACATTAAATTCACAAAAATGTAGAAAACTATTTTTTATTTTTTTTGCTTTTCTATATTTTTATGCTTTCTATATACTCTCACCGACCACTTTAATAGGTACACCTGTCCAACTGCTTGTTAACGCAAATTTCTAATCAGCCAATCACATGGCAGCAACTCAATACATTTAGGCATTTAGACATGGTCAAGACGATCTGCTGCAGTTCAAACCGAGCAACACAATAAGGAAGAAATTTATTTTTAAGTGACTTTAAAAGTGGCATGGTTGCTGGTGCCAGACGGGCTGGTCTGAGCATTTCAGAAACTGCTGATCTACTGGGATTTTCACGCACAACTATTTCTAGGGTTTACAGAGAATGGTCCAAAAAAGAGAAAATATTCAGTGAGCGACAGTTCTAAGGGCGCAAATGCCATGGTGATGCCAGACATCAGAGGAGAATGGCCAGACTGGTTCAAGCTGATAGAAAGGCAACAGTAACTCAAATAACCACTTCTTACAACCACAGAAGAGCATTTCTGAACGCACAACACATCCAACCTTGAAGCAGATGGGCTACAGCAACAGAAGACCACACTGGGTGCCACTCCTGCCAGCTAAGAACAGGAAACAGAGGCTACAATTTGCACAGGCTCACCAAAGTAGACAATAGAAGATTGAAAGAACGTTGCCTGGTCTGAGTCTTGATTTTTTTGCTGCAACATTCGGATTGGTAGGTTTAGAATTTGACGTCAGCAACATGAAAGCATGGATCCATCCTGTCTTGTATCAACAGTTCAGGCTGGTGGTGGTGTAATGGTGTGGAGGATATTTTCTTGGCATACTTTGGGCTCAGTAGTACCAATTGAGCATAGTGTCAACGCCACAGCCTACCTGAGTATTGCTGCTGACCATATCCATCTCTTTATGACCACAGTGTACCTATCTTCTGATGACTACTTCCAGCAGGATAATGCACCATGTCATAAAGCACGAATCATCTCAAACTGGTTTCTTGAACATGACAATGAGTTTACTGTACTCAAATAGCCTTCACAGTCACCAGGTCTCAATCCAATACAGCACCTTTGGGATGTGGTGCAACGGGAGTTCGCATCATGGATGTGCAGCTGACAAATCTGCTGCAACTGTGTGATGATATCATGCCAATATGGAGCAACATCTCTAAATATTTCCAGTACCTTGTTGAATCGATTTCACAAAGGATTAAGGCAGTTCTGAAGGCAAAATCCAACCTGGTACTAGTAAGGTGTACCTAAAAAAGTGGCCGGTGAGTGTATATTCTTACAGTTGAAGTCAAAATTATTAAGTGTGATCTTTTTTTTTTTCTTTTTCAAATATTTGCCAAATTATATTTAGCAGACATTTTTCTATATAAAAAAAAAACTTTTTTTTCATCTGGGAAAGTCTTATTTGTTTTATTTTGGCTAATATAAATTCATTTTAGTTTTTTAAAACCATTTTAGGGTCAATATATATATAATATATATATAATAACAAAAGCTGTAATTTATCCATTCTATTCAGCACTATGCAGCCAAATGTAATTTACTCAAAACGCCATGTACAAAAAAAATATATATATACCAAGATAAACTCATTAGGGTATTTCATGATAAGATGGAGAAAACTGAAATGAGCGTGAGCAACAAACCAGTCGTCAGATAATCATAAAAAGTGTAATGCAAAAAGCAAAAAAAAAAAAACATGAAATGAACAGACATGGTAAACTAACTAATATTTTAAAATGAAAATCATAAAACATAAAATGTGTATCTAAGCCTTGTATCTTGTATTTAAGTCTAAATTAAATACGTCAGACAATTTGAGAGCTGCAGCCTGGATGTGAGTGCTCTGCATCCGTGTGAGTCATGCAAATCTGCCTTAATTCTCCTCCATTTCAGTAATAAGAAATCTCCAGTGCCAGAGGATACAACAGCCTTATTCGGCCCTCCGCTGGAAACAGCCTTTGATGAGCAGAAGACCAGTGAAGGTACAGTAAATCTCCATATCTTTACAATTTACTGCTGCTTGTATATGTTGTCATTTGTAGGATTTTAAACTTACTAAATTTCTAAACTTTCACAAATCCAATACAATCTGATCACAGTCCAGATCAAAAGTCTTCACTTCATTCACTTGAAAAAAAAAGTCATTTTTCTGTGTCATATATACAGTAGTATGTCTTCGGGGGCTCACAGAGGGTAAAAAGATGGCACTTATATTTCAGCTATTCAGTATTTAAAGTGTTGTTTATATGTGTTTACTGTTTACCAAATTTAAGCTTTATGTACCTTGACATATAAAAGTTCATAGTGCTCACTTGTTGTGTCGCTACCTACTCAATTCCATTTGCAGTAAATGTTATTAAAGGAATTCGATTTATAGGCCATTTATGATAGAAATTGGGACACTGGAGATAAACTTGCATGGTGATTCCTTCCTCTCTGTGAGTCACAAAGCTGTTAACTCTGCTCCCCATCAACTGTCTATATCATGTCCTCTTCCATAAATTAGAGGTGATAGAGGAACCTGAGGTTTGGGGTGCACCCCTGCCTGAACAACACCTAGACTCCTCTCTGGCAAGACCTTTTCCTACAGGAAGTAAGTCTTTGCTTGTGTGGCATGATTGCCATCATCCTGGTATCATAAACCCATATTTCCCAAAATGGTGAACGGTCGTCTGAGTGGAAAAATCATGATTACCTCCAGATTTTATTTTAATACCTTTCCCTTCGGCAGTCTCCATTAACCTACTAATTTCTCAAGTCATTAGCCAGGAAAACAATCAAAATCCTAAGAGTCATCCAGCTCATTTCATCTGGTGGCAGTTTACTCAAAGTGGCCTATTTCTTCATATCTGCTTAAACCTCAAAAAGCACAATGATTCTAAGCTTCATTTGTGGGCTTGAGTTACGTTTGTAAATAGTTATTCATCTCTGAATATCTGTTTACCTTACATAGGTTTGTAAATACTAGGGCTTGCTCATTTTACCAGATAACCAGTCATCTAGGAAAGTAGCTGATGTTAAAGTGAGTGCTTACCTTTAAATTTGCCTGTTACTTAATACTTAAAGACCTGCATTAAAGACCGGCATTAACTACCTGATGCGCAACTGGAGAATTAGTCCCAATCAGTTAGTTCCACTTAACATGGGTGAGAAAGTCTACATTTGGTAATTTCCCATGAACATAATTGCAAATATACAATAAATGCAAGAAGACTAGGTCACACTTTATTTTGATTGTCCATTTGTTGAATTTAAGGGGTTAGGGTTAGTGTAAGTTGACATGTACTTGCAAAGTTTCTTCTAGTCAGTTAAATGTCTGTTGAAGAAGCAGTATCAGCAGATATTAAGCAGGCCATCTACTAATACTCCAATGGACCATCAAAATAAAGTGTTACCGAAGACTAAAATTAGACGGAGCAATTGCAGTATCTTCCTATTGTCACCATTCGAAACAGGCTAGTTGAAGAAGTAGCCAATTAGTGCATGTGTTTTCATATGTCAAAGGCCTGGCAAAGGACCAAACATAAAGACAGCTGTGTATTTTGCATCTTCCTGATGGTCCTCAGGCCCAAATTTGAAAATCCCTAGACTGGGGGACTAATCTTAAAAAATACAAGCTAATTGGCTAGTCCGTGCAAGCCCTGTTAGATGCATAAAAAATTGATCTTTCTACATATATTAACAAGCATTTTTTTGTAACAACATGAAAATAGTATTAGTAGGTCACAGAGAGTAAAGTGTTACCATAGAGTTTGAACTATTCATCCCATGTCACAGTCCTTCCGTGTTTTCCCTGATTGCCTGAATGAGACCTTGCCTTTGCATGGTGCTGTGGGGCATGAAGATGTGGCCTATGGGGGGTGGGGGTGTATGTGAGAGCTTGTCTCAGCAGCACTAATGTCATTGCAGCTCTGCCTCCGCTTCCGCCTAAGAATGTGCCGACCTCCCCCCCACCGATTGAATCTCCTACTACAGAACCTGCTGGTAAGATTCCCCTACCACTCATACCAGGGGTGTCTAAACCTGCTGCTAGAAGGCCACTGTTCTGCAGAGTTTAGTTACAAGTCCCATTAAGCACACCTTAACCAACTTAACATGGGTCATGAGCCATTCTGTGTTGGGCATTATTAATGCTGAAATCTGTGATACGTTGGCCTTTCAGGAGCAGATTTGGAAACAGCTGGACTATACCAGTAAATGACCCCAAGAAGTCTGATCTGATCAAGTGTCTGATCTATTTAATGCTTGTCTTTTGGCACTAGGAAAGAGCTTTTTTTGGTTTCTCTTGCATATTTCTTTGGCTTTTCTTTTGCATGCATCTTGCTTATAATTTTTCAGTTTTATCATGATGAGTTCTGTGTGGTGCTTGATACAGATGTTCAGAAGGAAGGGAATTCAAGACAAACTTCACAGAGGCCCTCTATAGCTGATTTGGACAACATCTTTGGTCCAGAAAACTCTCCTAAACTTAGTCAAGATATTGAAGACACGTGGGTCTGCTTCAACGACGAGTCACCTGAAAGACATTCTCCTCCTTTGGAGGGAGAGCCAGCACTCCAATCATCTCCACCACCCCCAGCAGAACCAGCTCCCCCTCTACCTAAATCTCCTCCTCCACTGGATGAACCAACCCCCCCTTTACCAAAATCTCCACCTCTTCCTTCAGAACCTGCACCCTCTCCACCTGCCTGTGAGCCACTAAGGGAAAGCCCCCCACCTGTTCTCAAAGACAAAACTCCTTCTCCTCCAACTGTCCCACCTCCTCCAATTGAAGAGGCCCCACTCCCACCAACACCAGATGATGTTTTTCACACCACCACAGACTTTTCACCCTGTGCTCCTCTGACAGAGACCCAATCAAACACAACCAACAGCCCACCAAACATTGTAGAGACAAGTGCACGTACAATCCCTTCACCCTTGGTTTTGAACCAAGAGGAGGTAAAGAGCCCTGATGAAACCCCATCAAAAGAGGACCCAAGTGAGAGCAGCACTTCACCCAAAGAGACTGGTCAAGGAGCACGTTCTACACCTCCTCCTCCTCCACCTCCCACATACAGGGCAGTAGTGTCCTCTCCAGGACCAGTCCCTCCAGCTTCTGCTAGTGGAAATGAAAGTGGTGAGTCTGATCTAAAACATCCAGTCAACAAAAGATTAAAGGTTTAGTTTACCCAATCTCAATCTTTTGTCTGTGTAGGTCAATAAATTTGAATTTCGAGTTGTTCTGCTCTAGTCACAATCATATTATTTGTGTTTTCACTGGAGAGCCTTCTTAGTAAGAGGGATGAGGGGTGTCTGACAGCTTTTTGCCTCATTATTTTTATATATAGGTACAAAACCACAGGTCTTACCACTCTTGCGTGAATTGCTAATACTACATTTTTAGGCTTATGTATTTTGCCAGTTCTCTAATCAGGAACAGTTTTTGAAGTTTCCAAATTGTTTCTCTTCAATTTTTCAGAATAAAATTACAGCACATTGGCTTTGTATAGGTTACTTGTAAGGCTGTTTTGATCAAGTCTCATACTTTTTAGAATTTACAGTAATTATATCCAGTTTGGGTAGCACTCTTCAATGGGCTTGATGCATGTTACTCTTTGAATGGCTTTGCTTTAATAGAGTACTCTTGCTCCACAGGCTCCTCCTCCCCTGCACGTCCCTCAACGCCACTGGCTACCAGCAGCTCCCCCCCTCCCCCTCCCCCACCTCGGCCACCCTCGCGACCCAAACTGCCTCCTGGGAAACCAAGCATAGGGGACGTGGTACGTGATGTCTTTAAAAAAATACCTTCAAATAGTAAATGTTCTTGTTACCAAGAAACTCACAATATCATTGAACACAGACAATTGTGTTCCTCAGAACACTGTGTCTATTATACTTTTTCTCCAATGGCCATAGTACCTGGCATGGCATAAAACACAAATAAAAAATGCTCAGAACACCAGGCTGAACCTAAAAGTGGACACTTTTATGTATATTTTATATTTGCTAAATAATATTCCTTCTTAAAGGTGCAATAGGTTGATTGGTTTAAGAAACTAATTAAGTTATCAAAATTTATTTATAACGATGTGTGTGTGTGGAGTGAGGAAGAAGGCAAAGTCAGAGATTCAGGTAAATAACAAAAATATTTATGCAAAGTCAGAGATTTAGGTAAATAACAAACATATTTATTATTATGCTCAAACAAAAAAGCAAACATACTCAGCCCTGTAAGGTCCTGTATCCCTCTTTGGCTGCTCTTTAAATGCAGTCTCTCCATCCCAGTCACTGCAAAGAGACAGGTGTTAGTAATGTTTTTGATTGACCTACTTTTCAGCATGCGCAGTCTTTTAATGCACTCTCTCTTTGGCTGCGTTTGAAACCGCCTACTACTCAGTAGGTGCTGCATTTGGATTTAAACGTACTACTCGGCCTTTAGAAAAGTACATTCTATACAGTATGAATGTGAAATGTATGAATGGAACTACATCCGCCATTTAGTCATGGTCACGTGACCTACCTGCGTCAGTTGCGTCGCTTTGCTCCCATTCATAAATTCTCTCGTGGGGCATCATGGGATAGTGGACTTCAGAATCTCGCCGGAAGTAGTAAGTCATCCAGGTACTTCTCGTTTACTGATTTTCTTATTTAAATGCATTTTAATAGTCTGTTCCACTGTTTGAGTTTGAAGAACCAAGAAAATGTATTCCAATCAAAACTTTTGGTCCAAACATTATGATAGGCTGTCCTACCTGCCTGTCAAGAAGTGTTATTACATACCTCTGCGCACACAGTTTGTGCAGAAAGGATAACGTTATCTGTGCATTCACAGACACAGCTCAGACAGAAAATGACAGGCAAACATAAACAACCTACCTTGTTTTTTTTTTTTAATTGTTATTGTAATTACTAACTGTACTTTCAAATTTTCTCTCTGGTGAAAGTTGTGAAGTGTATTGTAGTGATTGCCTAGTGCGTGTTCATGCAGTCAGGAAGCGTGGTTTTGAAATGCAATTCGTAGGGTGGGACAGAGCTATCAGTTAGCATTTTCCAAGTTCTCCTACTGCACCTTTAAGTGAAACAAAACACAAACACAGGGTGCTCCATGTACATTTTTCCTGATTGCCTGACTAAAACCCACTCTCTTATGTTGCTTAACTTCCCCTCCGTGTCTTCTTGCCTTTTCCCCAATTTTCCTGTCAGAATCGGCCGTTCAGCCCCCCTGTTCACTCGTCAAGCCCCCCTCCTTTGGCACCGCTGGCCCGAGCGGAGAGCACTTCTTCTATCTCCTCCACCAACTCTCTGAGTGCTGCCACTACACCCACCGTTGGTAAAGAGCTCTCCGTGTCTGTGTCAGGTGTGACTCCATTTACCATCATTCTCTCTGCTTTGCCATGTTGTTCTGTTGTTAAATGTCTGCTTACCGTTCTACTAATGGCATAACAAGAGTCTCTGTTTGTTTATTTACTATTAAACTCCGTGTACACTACAAAAAAAAAAAAAATATTGTGGTAAAATTTGACAGCTTTGATTTAGTTTAGATTAGAATAATGTGATGATGGTGTATGATTTAAAATGTTGACGTGAAGTATCAAGTACATAGGTCTCAAATTTGATTCGTGGAGGGCCACATCTCTGCACGGTTTTCCTCCAACTCTGTTCAAACACAGCTGATCCAACTAATCACCGTGTTCTAGACTACTAAAGACTAAGGCTGTTTCTCAATTCCAAGAACACAGAACGGACTTGTGTTTTTGTGAAGGCCGTTCTTGCAGGTCACCTTGGAAGAATGAACTCGGAAGACCGCAAGAACACAGAAAGCGTCCTGTGAGAAATGAGATGCTGCGTTCTTCCTTATGGTCATTTGACCTACGTTTTTTAACAGAAAATGTTATAAACATTACAGCATTCATAAACCAATTTAATGTTTTCCCCTTTTCACAATACATACTATGAGTATAGACTTTACAAATATATGTTGCACAACACAAATAAAACAGATTTTATCCTAAACTTTAGCGAATAAGCACCCTTAACGAGTTCATGCTTTTATAAAGATTTTCATGGTAATGTTGAGTTTCACCGTCTCATTTAGGGAAACTACTGAGGTAAATAAGTTTTATCTCTGAACTTTAATAATAAATTTATATAAAATGCTGCGCTTTCCACCTCCATTTGCAATGATTTCTGGGACTTCTAGAGCGAGTTCTGTGCTCAAGTCTGCATTGATGCGTCCTCGATACCAAGAACACATCAGGGAACTTTCACGTATTCTCCGTTCTTGCGGTCTTGAGTTTTGGAACTGAACTTTGGCAGTTGATGATGACGACCTTACATGAGAACACTAGGACGCAAGATCGCCAAAGAATGCATATTAAGAAACAGCATATTAAGCAGGAGTTGGAGGTGATTAGAGCTAAATTATGCAGAGCTGTGGCCCTCCAGTAATTGAGTTTGAGACCACTGCTCTAGCATCTTGCTATCATGTATTAGATCTCTGGAACTTATGGTAAAAGATTGAGTCTGTTGGTAAAATAATGTTTTGCTAATCCAAGATTGTATAATTAGGCATAATTAAGAATAATAAGACTGGTAATTCCATCAATTTCTACAATTCTTAATCTGGTTGGATCTTAAATAACCAAAGACATAAAAAAACATATGTTACAGCTTGGAGCAAAACTATCATTATGTGAAGATAACATGCAAAACAAATAAGCTATTTTTGTCTTGTGTCTTCGGACTGTATGTCAAATGCGACATATAGTATTGATGCTTTGATTAGATGCTTTCATTAATGTTTTTTTTTATTCCATATGTTGGGTAGCTTCGTTTTCTGAGGTCGGCAAAATGTTTGCATTGTGCCTTTGCCTGAAATTAGGCTTTTTGGTGTATATAATCTGTCTGTTGCTTGTGCTATTCCAATCTTTTTTTGTTGTTTTGTTTTTCATCTTTGTTTTTTCTTTTATCATTCTTTTCTGAATTAATCTTGTTTTTAAGTATTTTAAACATGTCATGCATCCACCGTGACGTCAAGTTTAATGACTGTGACTTTTTGATTTCTTTGCAATTATTTGTCCTTTACTTTGAATTATGTTTATTTTTTTGTTTGTGTTTTGTCGTCTTTCTTGTCTTGTCTTTTGGGCTGACGTTATTGTCTGATGTCAGAAGATGACGCTTTTGTAGACAAACTTCCCAGCTTTGAGAGACGGGCTGATATTCCAGCAGGTATGCTATGAACCCCTCCTGATTTAATGGATGGGATGGAGACCACCGATTCCGCAATGTAACAGATGGTTACATTAACCATACTATCAGTTATCAGAGCTCATTCATGGTGATCTTTCATTTTCACCAGTGACTAAACTTGCAAATAAGCTGGAAAATGAGGTGATTTTCTTGTCAAGAGTCTTAAAAGGAATTTTAAAGGTCATTTACCACTTGACATCTGTTGGCAGAATTTGGGGTCACTATTACAGCAGTATTCTTCAAATTGCATCCTGGCATTAAAGCTGGCTCTAAAGCTGGCTAGAAATATGCCCCTGTCACAGTACACGATGTAACCAATGAAAGTATACTTTATCTAACTCTATGGGCCCTATCATACACGGCGCAGTATGGCGCAAGGCGTGGCGCAGTAGTCTTTTGGTAGTTTCAGCTTGGCGCAAGAGTCGTTTTGAGGCGTTGCGCTACGCTGTTTAAATAGCAAAAGCATTAGCGCTTATTTGTGCGCCCATAGGCGTTCTGGTCTAAAAAGGAAGGCGTTCTGAGGCGGACCGCTGGCGCGTTGTTATTTTGAGAATCTATAACAGATTTTTCATTAGACCAAAACTAACCCGGTCTAAACTCCGGCGCAGAGTTGCGCCTCGCTTACGCACTGCTTAATACGTACAAGAGAGCAATAGGCAAATATCTTTACATATGAAAAAATTTAAATATTAAGGATATATATAGTATATAATAAGAATAGATATAGAATATAGATATAAAGGATTAAAATATTACAAAACATATTATTTTCTAGCCTACATAAATATGAAAAACCACTGCTTTTATGTCTTTTTCATCTCGGGAGGCTTTTTCAGTTCATTCATAACAATTTGCTTTTGTATAATGTTATTATTATTAGCAGTATTATTTATTATATCCATATTTATATTTGTTTTATTAAAAACAAGCTTAGATTTGCCCACCTGTCAGGTTTTAGACCATATGGGGCACAGCAGGTGTTTGAGGATATAACTCAGGTTTTTGAGCACATTTTGCTATTATTATTCATTTATTCGTTTGCTGGAAATTAGAACTGAATTTAGAAATAGTTTTGAAACTAATATTTGCGCTTAACAAACAAAAGTATTTATTTATAGACTAATTGATGTCTGTGTGTAAAGGTTTCCCTATCCAAGAGCGAAAGTGAAAGTGATCCATTATCTCTCATTCTCACGCAGTAGATGCTCTGTTTAACAGTTTTCTGTTAAAAAACTGTTAACTGTTTGCTTGTGAAATGCTCATTTTTTCCACTTAGGCTTACTTTGCGGCCTGTAAATAGCCCTGAAAGCGTTTGCGCCCTGCGTTTTGCGCTCTGCGCATGAACCGTCAAAATAGAGCTCTATGCATGTATCGTATGCATGGTTGTAGATTGTGCATTGGTACATGAGCCAACTTTAATTTTACATATAAAACTCCACTTGTTTTAGTAATATGTTGGCTAACTAGAAGAGTCTCAACCTGATCAAGTAGTCTTATATGGAACAGATAATTTAAACAATTTGTTTTACACTTTACACTTTAATACATTAAATAAAATTTAAAATTATAAAGACAGTGCATCTGTCCTTGGATGTTCAATAATAACAATTAATGTTATAATAATACACAAAAAAAGGATTATTATTATTAGTAGTAGTAGTAGTAGTAGTAGTAGTAGTTGTATATAAAAAAAATAATAATAATGTTGTCTGAAAACTTTAAAATCTTTATTTTATACATAAAGTAGGAATCAGCTTTATACCTCAGATTCTGTCAATAGACATTGTTGTGGATATCCAAGAAAATTCCTTTAATAATGTTAAGTACTTTTTCTATGTCTTTTAGCATCTTTTTTAAAAGGGGTTTTCCTCTGCTTTACTCATTTTGAGTGCAATGTTTGCGATTTAATTTTCTTCATCCATTTTTAATTCTTTCAGTCATATATTGCTTTTCACATCCATAAAATACAACATGTCATATCTCCAAGTTAGAGGTTGCTCTGCCTGTATCACATACATTGCACCCCCCTCTTACATCCCGGGAACAGAAGAGTCTTTTAGTTCCCAGAAAGCATCTGTCTGGCTGTAGACTCTTCAGAAAACCCAAAGAGCACACAGCACACAGCAGCCTCTCAGTGTTTGAAGTGTGGTCTGGAATTTGGCCCAAGTGGCAGCGGCACTGATCAGTATTCCTAACGTCACACTAGTTTGAGTGGAGAACTGTCAGATGTTACACCTGGCTAAAACCATTTCTAACATCGTTATGCTACAAAGGTCAAGCTTTACTGCTGCATCATTTCAAAGGCTTAAATGCACATATCTACATTTTATCTTGAACATTCAATGCTGCGTTTCTTTCAAAATCAAAATTTGTAGATTCTCCTAGGTGGTATCAAATGTTTTTTTTTTTTGTGATGGAAATTCTGAAGCTTTCATCAGGGTATACGGTAATATCATGATGTTGATCTAAGCTGTAAAAGAAAAATGACTTTATCAGGTATGAAAACAAAAAAATACTTAGTGTATTTGTTGTCTATACATGTTCAAAGTAAATAAATGCTTGAACCAAATTATATCCTGCAAAAACATTATAAAGTACAATAAGTAACGTGTTTCAAAGTCTCATTAGTAAATGTTAGTTCATGGATTCAACAGTGGAAAAAAGCCAAATTACATGCAGCTACTATATAAAATATACTTAATATTAGTCAAAAATACAGCAAAATTGCATTCATAAATTGTATTACTTTGATGAAATGATTACGAGTTGCATTCATCTCATGACTACGATTTTATTAGTGTTATTAGGCATTAACTAAAGATTAACATCAGCTAAGATTAATAAAAGTATTTTTGTAGTATTCACGGTGACTAATGTTAACTATTAGAGCCGTATTGCACAGTGTTAACATATACCAACCCTATTTGAATTTTCAAACAGTGTTTCAGCATGTAGCAGATTAGTTTAACACGTGAAAACACTCTTGTTTGAACATAATTGAACAAAGTAATGGATTTTTGAATGTCTGCAATAATACTATATCTTATGCAAGCATTTTATTCAGCTATTCCACAAATATCAATACTCAATATCGATGAAGATTTCAGTATTTCCGTCATGCAATTAATTTTGATTTGTCTCATTTACTTAAAGAGGCCATGTGATGCGTTATGTTGTTTTTCATTTGTATGTAAAGCTTCTTTTTGTGAATATTCACACATTGACAGCCATATTTACCTTTAGGTGTGAGTCTCTAAACATCCTGTTCACACAGCAGCTATGAAAGAGGCTTCAATAGCGTGGTATAAACAGCAGATGAAGTCAAGCTGTATTACATAATACAACTCTGATAAACTGTAATAAGCGCTGTTGTATACTTTAGATTTTACTACGATAAACTGTGGTGAATAATAATTTGGATACTTCTAGAAAACCTATTGGGTCATTTATTTATTACTACAGTTATACACTATATAAGACCACAGCACATACATTCAAATAGTTCAGTATACTGTAGAATGATTATGTAGTAGTCAAATCACTTACTTTAGAATAGTTTAAAAAAAACACTCATATTTACTATAAATTACTTTAGGTAGTAGTCATGTAGGTAGTTTACAGTGCATCTACCATCTCATTGACAGGCAAATAATTCAGTTCAGTATAAAACGTGCTTCTCTTTGTAATATAAGGATTGTGCTTAACATATGATAATTTTCTATTTAAATATCTTTTCACAACTTTTTTTTAACTTTCTGTCCTGCATTTGAATTTTGCATGCCACCATAAGCACGTTGTTGCAAACAATAGGAATGTCCTGATCAGGTTTTTTTTCCCTCAAGTCCGAGTCTAAATCATTTGAGTCTGCCGATACCGAAACCCGATCCGATACTTCTATAATACATAAAAAGGAATAAAGAAGAGCGAAGAAATAGATCCAGGATGTTCCTTATTTTTTATTTAATTCACCTTATGTTAACTCTTCTGTGAGGTAGCTTGAACAATCAAGTAATAAATAACATAAAGTCTTCACTTTTGGACTTAAGTGCAACAGTGAATATTAAAAAATCAAATATAAAAACAAAGCAGCTCCGTAACTTAAAATACCTGGCAGGCAATCCCAAGTTTACACATATCACAGTTTGTTATGGCAATGTCGTTGTCATCCATTTTTTTTAAATACGTCCTGACCGCAGACATACTCGCGCTTTCTGCTTCAAGCTGCTTCTGTGTTCTAGTTTGCATTTAACCAATAGCGTTTCTGCAAGAAAGTCATGTTCTGCTGCATGCGTTGCTGTTTCTGTTTGAAGTCATAACTATAGATGTATTAAAAAAATATGATGTGTGTGTGTGTGTTTATATATATATATATATATATATATATATATATATATATATATATATATATATATATATATATATATATATATATATATATATTTATTCGAGTCCTGAACGGGAGGTAACATATGATTCCAATCAAGTCTGTAACAGATTTTTCCGCGTGATCGGATCTGAACATCCCTACCTAACAACCTATAGTGGGGCTGCAATAATGCTGCAAAAATAATGATTTTTAACATTAAAGCATGCTAATTTATTCTGTTATGCCTAAAAAACAAAATAATGGTATTTTTAAAACATTATCATATGGCCTCTTTAGAAGTAATCATGTATCACTTTTATTTGCACAGTACTGCAAACTACATAATATGAGACAATTTAAAGTTTTGTTTTTTCAGAGTTTTCTAGTCCAGTTCCAGCTAGGGTTAAATTGAACCCAGCATTAGAAAATGTATTCACTGGTTCAAGATGACGCATAAAGATGCTCACCATTACTGTACAAATGAAATTGTTCATTGCTTACTCTAAGTGACTTCATTCATAGCTCTTGCGCTGTTTTTGTATATAGCTGTATTTCTCCTTTCCAGCATCGTAAAAGAAACCCTCATTTACTCTTCCCTGTTGTGTTGCTCATT